GCAGCTGATCTATATGTGATTCTCCAAAATTGTGTCCAATAGAGATTTGGGGTGGCAGTTTGCCCTGTGACCTGGATTTTCTGCTAGGTACATGACAAGTCATTGATTTTTAGTTTGTTGACTTTTTCTTTACGTGAGGATGAAAGTGATGACTTCTAAAGAATCTGCATTTTAAAATGTCCATATATTTAGTTTTTTTCTTTAAAACACATTTTTTTTGTTTTAAAATTTGATCTTGTTGTAATATGATCTTATAGCCAGAACACGTAACTGTTCATTTTCTCCATATTATTTATTTAGTTTAATTCAAGGCCAAATAATTGATATAAGTATATTTTTATAATTTGTAAAACATTTCTTTTTGTGTGTATGTGTGTGTGTAAATACTTTAAGAGTTAAGAATAGGATATAAAGTGTTTTTTTTTTTTCTATTTATTTATTTATTTATTTATTTATTTATTTATTTTTTAAAATATATTTTAAAGTGGTTTTTAATCACCATGAAAAATTTGTCTATTTGTGGTCTTAAATTTTACTTTGAAAATATAAATATTGTTATTTTTGCTTTTGATCTTGATTGCTTTTGTCTAATGTAACTTGACCATCTTTTTTCATTTAAAAATTTTAATGTCACTGTTTTTGTTGCATCTTTTGTAGTTAGATTCTATTTTGGCCATTTGTATTTTAAGATAATTTAATCTATTTTAAATGACATATTTCTCCTTACTTATATTTTTTTTGCACTTTTTATGTCTTATGCCTCTTTGTTTTTTCATGTTAAAAATAATAGAGTATATTTTCTTCATTTTTTTTGTTTGTTAATCCTCACCTGAGGATATTTTTCCATTAATTTTTAGAGAAAGTGGAAGGGAGAAAAGAGACAGAGAGAGAGACATTGATTAGTTGCCTCCCTCATGCACTTTGACGGGTCTAAGGATTGAGCCTGCAACTGAGGTACATATCCCTGACTAGAAGCAAACATTGACTCTTCAGTCTGTAGGCTGACTCTTCACTCTGTCCACTGAGATAAATCAGCCAGGGCTTCTTTACTTTTATTTTTTGTAAGATTTATAGTCTCATTTTTGGTGCTATTTGTTGCCCTCAAGTTTTCTAATTAATTCTCAGATATATATTTCTCTAATTGATAGCATCAAATGTGAAACCATAGCATTTGAGTTTACTATAGTTTGAAATAAGTTATTTAACTGAGTTTTTTAATTGCCCCATTCAATTAAAAATTTTTAAGATAATCTAATGTTTTACTTTAAAATTATTATGATTTTTCTATTATATTCTCTCTTTTTAGAACAAAGTCTTTGGATTCAAGACCCCTGTGTATACTTCTATATCACTGAGAGCGCTAAAGAGCTAGCTTTTGTTCATGTGGGTTATATCTATTGATATTTACCACATAGGGATTAAAACTTTGAATACTTAACATATTTACTTATTCATTAAAAATAGTAATAAACTCTGCTGGGACTGGTTTGGCTCAATGGATAGAGCGTCAGCTTGGGGACTGAAGGGCCTCGGGTTTGATTCCGGTCAAGGGCATGTACCTTGGTTGTGGGCATATCCCCAGTGGGGGATATGCAAGAGGCAGCTGATCAATGACTCTCTCTCATTGATGTTTCTGACTCTCTGTCTCTCTCCCTTCCTCTCTGTACAAAAATCAATAAAATATATTTTAAAAAATAGTAATAAACTCTTTACCTGCTAATATAAATAACATATTTTATGGAAGTGACACATTTGATGAAAGTATGTTTTTCAAAAGATAACAATGTTTTATACTTTTACAAGTCTCTTTAGTAGCTGGTTCAGTGGAAAACAGATTTTACTTCTGAATTCAATCTATTGTGATACCATAGGCCATGTATTCTCTGGAAAATTCCACTTGACATTTGTCAGAATATAAGAAACAAGAAGGGTAAACATATCTTTGTATTATTATGAAAGCATTTTTTGTTTGTTTGTTTGTTTGTTTGTTTTTTTGTTTTTTTTTTAATCCTCACCCAAGGATATTTTCCATTGATTTTTTACAGAGAGTGGAAGAGAGGGGGAAAGACAGAGAGTTATTTTGATGTGAGAGAAACACATTGATTGGTAGCCTCCTGCACAAGCTAAGACCAGGATTGGGGAGGAGCCTGCAACCAAGGTACATGCCCTTGACCAGAATCTAACCCAGGACCAGTGGATAGAGCACCCTCTCTTTACAGGCGGATGCTCTATCCACTGAACCAAACCAGGTAGGGCTGAAAACAGATTTTACTTTGATGACACGTGAAAGGGTCTTGCACAGTTCCCGGATATTGTCATAAGAATGTGCAAGCCTATACAGTATCTATTAGAGTTTATTTGACCCAAATTGAGGACATGCCCAGAAGCAAGCTCTTAACTACCGTGTTTCCCCGAAAATAAGACATCCTCTGAAAATAAAACCTACTTACAGGTTTCCTTCTGAGTGAAATATAAGGCATTCCCCCGAAAATAAGGCTCCCCCCAGAACAAGAAGTACTCATTTAAAGTCAGTGCTATTGCTAAACATGAGAGATTTGGTCCACTGATTCTGAAAGAAATGGAGTCACAAGAAATTCACCAGGAAATTAAGGAATTGGATTGTTATGATGATGTTCCAGAAGATGATGACATGATTGCCATTGAATAAATGAGTAAATTCTTGATACTGTAGGATTCACAGTTTGTCTGGTTTGTGTTGACAACTACTGTACCATTGTACCGTATACAGGTAATAAATTTCCTTTATTTTCATTTAACAATAAATGTGCATCGTATTCTTCTTCATGGAAAAATAAGACATCCCCTGAAAATAAGACCTACCACATCTTTGGGAGCAAAAATTAATATAAGACATTGTCTTATTTTTGGGGAAATAGGGTAATTAAAAAAATGCTCCAGAGAATGGCAGTTTTGCAGCCTTCATTTATTTTTGTACATTTGAAATCAAAGAAGGAAGGAAGATTGCATGATGTACATTGTTGATAGATAAAAGAGACAGAGAAAGTAAGGTGGTAAATCCATATGACTGAATAAAATGTGAAATGGAGAGATATACTTCTTTTACATTGGTGGATGTAAGACAGTTAAACATTTAACATTTACAGTGAATGAGACTGGTATATAGGCAACAAGACCATTTGCTCTCTTGAGTAGTTATACCTCTAAGCATACTTTTCAATGTAGCTATACCTCTTAGGGATCTTAAAAGAGTATTATTCTGGTATTTAAAAGGTATGTTAACTTTTAAACACAAAAACAATGCACAGAAACAATGGCAAAGATAAGCTTTTAAAAAATATTTTATTTATTTTTTTATACAGAGGAAGAGAGAATGATAGAGAGTTAGAAACATCGATGAGAGAGAATCATCAATCAGCTGCCTCTTGCACACCCCCCACTGGGGATGTGCCCACAACCAAGGTACATGCCCTTGACCAGAATCGAACCCATGATCCTTCAGTCCGCAGGCTGACACTCTATCCACTGAGCCAAACCGGTTTTGGAGGCAAAGATAAGCTTTTTAGTAAATAAGTTATATGTATTGGGCATGACTACCCAACCATGAGCTGCCCAGGGAAAATTTATGTTCAGATCAACCTGTGAAGTGGCTTTCCTTAGACCCCCTCCCCCCCCCCTTTTTTTTTGTTGTTTACAGTTTTTAAATTTTTATAACATTTTTTTTGTCTTATATTTGTTTAGTCACAATTTCGGAGGTGGGGGGGTTTTGAAATATATATTACAAGGAGTTTGCTCATATGATATAGAGGCTGGCAAATGCAAAATCCTCAGTGTGGGTCAGTAGGCTGGAGATCCAAAGAGTTGATGCATTTCCATCTGAAAGCAGTCTGCTGGAGGGTTTCTTCTTACCCAGCGAAGATGATCTTTTGATTCTATTCATGCTTTCAACTGATTGGATGAGACCAACCCCCATTAGGGAGAATAAACTGCTTATACAAAGTTTACCAACTTAAATGTTAGTCTTGTCCCCAAATATTCTCTTAGTTGACACATAAAATCAACTATTACTGCTGCAACCTATAGCAGCAAGGATTCAGGAATCTGGAGAAGGAGCTGTGACATAAATGAAGAGATTGGACAAGAAATATAAATTTGGAAGGCACTGAGGGAAGCGTTGCAAAATCACTTCCCTCTAGTGGAGAAACTCGCTGAATCTCTAGATCCTCGGCTTTTTTATTTACTGGAATACACATTTGCCCTTTAGCAAAGCAAACACACATCAGTGGTAAGGTTTGGTAAACAATAAAGGATTATCAGGTTAGGGGAATTGCCTTCAGTTGTTCAGCCAGCAGCAGATAATAATAATATTATATGTAGATTTTCAGCCCTTCTGAATATCAAAGTCCCAAGATCCACCAGCCTTCTGAAGGACTTCTTGCATAATTATGACCTGCTGGTCTTAGCCTCCAGCACATTACAATATCATATTAATTCCTCTGATTAAAAAAATTCATTGTCTTCTCTAGAGGGTTCCGGTGAAAGTCTTTTTATAGTAGCTTTGATTGGCACAGGGTAAACTCTTTCACTTTTCTATGTACAAGTCTCTCTTAAGCTCTTTGTTTTCTTCTATTGCACCCTTGATTATTCTTTAAATAAGTAAATTCCATTTATTCTGGTCTCACCACAAGAGCACTATTTTACTTGTGTTGGCTCTCCATTAACTATCTTTCAAGTCTTAGATCTTCTAGCCCACTACAAGTCTTCTAGAAACCCAATGTCTAGGGAGGTAAGATATCAACCAAAGGACTTGCATGCATGCATATAAGCATAACCAATGGACATAGACATTAAGGGGGATGAGGGCATGTGCTGGGGTTGGGGGGAAGGGGATAGAAGTGGCTAGGGAGAGGTCAATGGGGGAAAAAGGAGACATATGTAACATTTTCAACAATAAATGATTTAAATTTAAAAATAAAAAAGTAACCCAATGGATATTTTTACATCGAGTCTTTGTTTCTCAGGGACCAGAACCCAGAAGACCAGAATCCAGAGGAGCAGTTTTTCTATGAGTTCGTTTTTAAGCTCTTCAAGGAAAATAAGGTGGAGATTGCAAAAGCAATAACGAAGCCATTTCCTTTTCTTATGGGCCTCCGAGACCGTGGTTTTATCCCTGAATCAAAGTATAATGTGAGTGAAGGGGCTTTTCTGCTGATAAACAGGCCCTTACTATATTATTACAAAATTTGGGATGCACAGGGCAGGCTAAGGGGCTCCCTGTGGACCTTCATCATCTTATACTTTAGGAGGTGACAGGAGAAGCGGCACCACAGAAAGCATTCCCTCTTCTGTAGTAAGTGTTGGTGGAGGGGCATGGGATGGAGATGTGGCAGGATTGTAAATGGAAATGCTCCGTAGGTACAGAGAATCTCAGTTATATTGAAGACAAGCCTTCTGTTTGTGAATTTTCTTTGCCCTTTGGCCAGATCCGAGTCATGGTTTCCTGGAAACTTTAGCCCAATAGAGGGAAGTAGGGTAATGTCTAGACACCAAAATAGCCACTCATTACCAGTCAGGCCAACTTATGAAGCACTCTGGCCAGACTCTTAGAGCCACTCTTCCCCCCAATATTCAATTTTGAAACCATTTTTATTCTTCAAAATAGCTCTCTCAAGCATACATCAATGTTAGAGAGTCAGGTCCACAGAATAAGTGTATTTTTCAGGTGGGGAGTATTTAAGGAGTTATCTAAAAATATGTGACATTCTAATATTTTTCTAAGAGAACAAATATTTTATTTATAATCTGAATATTCTCTAACCTATAAATGCATATCTATAAAATTGTCTATTTAATATTTTTAAGCATTTTCTAGAAGCTTGTATAAATCTGGTCCCCATGGAGAGAGTGGCATATAATGTCCTCAATGAACTGGAGAAGAAATTTGACCTGACAGTTCTGAAAGCCTTATTCAGCACAGTTAACCTGAAGTCTTATACTGATTTACCTGAGATTTACAGAAGCTTCCAAAATGGTAATTATAACTTGCAATGAAAATTGGGGATTCAAGTCCATTTCATTCACTGATTCATGTATTCATCTATTCTTCATCAATATCTGACAATTGTCCTGGTTGGATAGTTCAGTTGGTTAGAACGTCGTGTCGTCCCAATACCTGAAAGTTATGAGTTCCATTCCTGGTCAGAAAAATCAACCCATGAATACAATAAGTGGAACAAGTTGATCTCTCTCTCTCTCTCTCTCTCTCTCTCTCTCTCTCTCTCTCTCTCTCTCTCTCTCTCCAAATTAATAAAAAGATAACCTCAGGTGAAAATTAATAATAATAATTAAAATAAAATATTATTCTTGTTTGTGCCTTAGAGAAAGTACCTTTCCTTTGTTCCTGGATCCTTCCCACCCATTCCATCTTGGAGGAAGTTCTAGTTTCTTCTTAGTTTTATATTTGTAACCAGATAATCTTCCCTGACCCAAGATATACTTCCTTCTTCCTTCCTTCCCTTTTTTCTTTTAAATTCTCCATTCTTAAAGTGTAGGTGTTTTTTTGTTTGTTTGTTTGTGTGTGTGTGTGTGTGTGTGTGTGTATGTGTGTGTGTGTGTATGCTTTTTAAAAGTAGGTCTATTTCACTATAAGCATTACTTTTTCTTGAGGAAATCCCTGTGCGTCTGCACTATTCCTAATATATGTAGAATTAACAAAACACATTATTAATTTTAAATTAGCTTTCACCATTCTATGATTATTCTGAAGGGGTTTAACCCTGATTTATACTTGTCCACTGTCCATTTTTAAACCTTGAGAGGTGTATCTCTGTGTGGAACGGCTATAGGATTACAGGAACATTAAGTCACAGGTTATGTGAGACCCACAAAAGCCCAGGGTTCCCTGAGGGTTGGAAGGTTCCCTCTGAATTATGGAGTCTTGAATGTACCTGGATATGCAACTGTGAGATGCATCCCCTGGCCATTGCCAGAAACCTATAATTGCCTTTTCCTCCTCTCCTCAGAGCTTCATGGTCAATTCTATTACCAAGCTATTGATGATGAAGAAACAACAGAGATGCTCAACTGCCAACCAAACTGTGAACAAGGTAATGATGACTTGATAGAAACATGTTTTTTCATCTACCAAGAGTAAAGGAGATCACAGATCAGGAGACTGCATTCCTGAGGGGAGAGTATATCCTGGGGAAGGAATGCAGAAGGAGATGGGAAGCCAGAGCAGTGGTGTGTTGTATAGATTCACAATTAACCAACCAGATGTGGAATCCAAGAATATTTTCAGACAGAACTAACAACTAAGAAGTTAGAACATACACTCAAGAGAGATCTTACTGTGACCAAAAGCAGAATTAAGGGAAGAATTGATTGCAGTATTTGTGACCTTTGTAACAAATTCAAAGAGGAAGGCTTTGGTATGTCAAAAGGAGGAACAGTTGTAAATATGCAGTAACAACACTTAACTTTTATAGGTATAAGGTCAGCACTTCATACAGAGAGGAAGGGAATTGTATAGAGAGTCAGAAACATTGATGATAGAGAAACATCGATCAGCTGCCTCCTGCACACCCCCTACTAGGGACGTGCCCACAACCAAGGTACATGCTCTCGACCGGAATCAAACCCGGGACCCTTCAGTCCACAGGCCAAGGCTCTATCCACTGAACCAAACCAGTTTCGGCTGTTATTCCCATTTTTCTGAAGAAGTGAAATGTGAGGGAGGATGCTTAGTGATGTGTGCAGGTAACATAAATAGGAATTGTGCTATCTAGGACTCAAACCTTCTTCTCCACACTGGTTGAGGGCAAAGATTCTGAGGCCCCACTGCCAGGCTTAAATCTTGGCTGTACCATTTACTTACTTGGGAAAGTTACTTAATTTCTATGTTTGAATAGCCTCGCCTGTAAATTTGTATCTGTACCTAAAATAATGTTGTAAGGATTAAATGACTTAATTTATGCAAAGCACTAAGTCATTTTTGGCACAAAGTAGCCCCATAATTTATGGCACAAAGTAATTGCCCTGTGTTTACTACTGTTATTATTATGTATACCTGACTGCAACAACTATACATTTAGTCAATGCTCTAAATTTTGAAATTTCTTTTCTCAGACACCCTAAGAAAAAATTATTTTTCAGACTAGAGTAGCAGTGAGTGAAATAGCTTTAAAGCCCAAGAAAAGGTCATTCTTAGGCCAAATGGTCTACAATAAATTTATTTATTTGTTAAATGTTGATATTTTCCCTTGGAAATAGTCAATGTAAGAAAAACCATGAGAATATACACTGAATGACCAGAATATTATGATCTCTGAACACATAATAACCTGGCCACTCAGTGTATATCCTATATAATAAAAACGTAATATGCAAATTGTTAATCTGGCCACTCAGTGTAGTCAGCCTGCCATTTAATATGTATTCTTTAATTTGGATGGATACCTCAGATATTATACATTTTTTACTGTATTAATATCCTATATAATAAAAGGTAATATGCAAATAGATGAATAGCAGAACAACCAAACAACCAATCAAAGCATAATATGCTAATGATATGCTAAGGCTGCTCAACCGCTTACTATGACATGCACTGACCACCAGGAGGCAGACAGTTGACCCATTAAGCAGTTACTATGATGTGCACTGACCACAAGGGGGTTGATGCTCCAACCTGTAGGTTAGCTTGCTGCTGGATTCTGGCTGATTGGGTCTGAAAGAGATGCTCCAGACACGCCCTGGAGCCTTCCCTCCCCTCCTCCCCCCCAAGGTTCCTCCTTGACCAGATCGTGCATCAATGGGGTCCCTCAGCCTAACCTATACCCTCTCATAATGTGGGACCCCTCAGGGGATGTCAGAGAGCCAGTTTCAGCCCTATCCCACAGGTCACTCCCCTTGGGAGGGTGCCAGACACAGGGTTCATGGCTGGCGAGCAATGCTGCTGCAGCTCAAACCTCTCCTGATTGGGACTGATTGGGCACAAGCCTGCGGCAGGCACAGTGTGGCTGGGATTAGCAGGAGCTGCAGGTAGGAGCTGCAGGTAGTGTTGGACTGTGGGTTTCGGTCCAATCCCTGCAGGCCACCCAGAAGGACCCCACCTATGCACAAATTCATGCAGTGTGCCTCTAGTATTTGTATAAAATTTGGATCTATGTTAATAACCATACTTATTATTTTGAATACAGACAAATTGCTAAGAGTATAAAGTGTACATTAAAGAGTAGAAAATATATCAAAAGTATGCTTAGAAAGCTGTCTACTGCTAGGGTAGGGGAAAGGAGAATGAAGTGGTGGAGGGATTAGTAGTAGATATTAGTAAAGAGTAAAAGAGGTTTATCATGAAAGAGAAACCAAATTCTTCCATACTCCTAATGTGATCCAGGTCAAGCCCTACCTGGAGCTAGAATCTCAGAGTATCTCAGTGATGGACAGCAAATGAGTATAAAGCAAGAAGATTCATCTCATGACCTAAGTAGATCAATACAAACACAGGAAATGACAAATGAATCCTCCCAAAGATCTCAACAAATAGGTAAGATTGACTCAGTCAACATACACCTGGATTACTGTGAATGAATCTAGCACATATGGGGCGAGAAGAAGGGCTGTGTCATGTGGTTATAATTAAAAAAGGAGTTTTCAAGGAGCCTGAAATAGGGCAGAAGAGTAGGTCAGTGTTTAATGTAAAGAGCCATATTTACCAAAAAAGGGTCTTTCACATCCCTATGCACAAATTTCTAATCCAGATCTGAGTCATGGTTCTCAGAACAATAGCCACCTGCTCATCTCCTCTTTCTCATCTTGCTCCCATGAAATAAGTTCTTTGCATTTTAACTAGATAGAACATTTAAAAATAAAAATTAGATTGTATTATATTTGTACTTATCTTATTAATAGATTAGGAGTAAGTATTTCTTTCAGTGGCATCCAGAGTCATCCACAATGAGCCATTGCTTATTTCCCCAGCCTCATTACTTGCCTCCTACACTATTATAGAGCAAAAACCTTCTTTCCAAATCATTTTAATTGTTAAAATTTTCTTTCTTTTCTGAGCCTTCTCATATATCTTTTTAGAACATTTTTTTGTTCCACTACCATCCAATTATCCTTTCTAGTCTGGTTAAAACTTATTTAAAACAGACTCTCTCAGAGAGGACTATATACATATACATACATACACACACACACACACACACACACATATATATATAAAATTGATTAGGAGTTTATCAATATATATATTATATATTATATATATTATACATTATATCATATATCATATATCATATATCATATATCATACAGCATATATCATATATTGTATATTATATATTATATATTATATATTATCTATATTATATATATATAAAATTGAATATATATATATAATTGATTTTTCACATAGAGAAAGGGAGAGGGATAGAAAGCTAGAAACATCGATGAGAGAGACACATTGACCAGCTGTCTCCTGCACAACCCCTATTGAGGATGTGCCCGCAACCAATGTCCTTGACTGGAATCGAACCTGGGACCCTTCAGTCCGCAGACCCATGCTCTCTCTATCCACTGTGCCAAACTGGTTTCGGCTATTTTATTTTTTTAGAAAGAGAAGAAGCTAGAAGAAAAATTGCAAGATCAAGGGTAGGAGAGAAAGAGCAGTATCACAGAAAGCAAGAGACAAAAGGAGCAGAGGAGAGGAGAAAAACACATCAAGAGTAAGAAAAGCTCCAAGAGACACCAGCAGAAAGAAACAGGCAGACCTTGATAAAAAAAAAAAAAAAGTACAGAATGAAATAGGAAGCGAAAATAAAGAGAAAGAGAAAATTTCCCCATGATGATGAGTGAATCATTCTTAGTCTGTAGGAAAACTACTGAAGCAAAGTTAACCGTTAGGTCAGGTCGTTTTTGCAGAATGGGGCATTCCAGATTACCAACCTTCTGGGTTTTCTCATTATTTCTTTGTGGTGATTTCTTCTCGGTCATAAATTGAGATGCCAGTGGGATTTCAATCCTTTCTGAAGAGAATAACAAGGCCTGTTGTGTAGCCTGTGATGGAGAGGAGCCCCAGGAAACTTTGAGCTCCCCACAGAGACATGAACCAGGTAAGAAAGGGGAAATTGGCAGCTCTGGGCTGCAGGTGGCTAAATTTAGAACTGACATTTCCTGATGCAACAAATTGTGAACACACTTCACTGTCAAAAATTTGGTGTGCCCTAAAACTTCATGAGTCATATTAATGTTTCTAAATGTATATTCTAGTGCAAATATGTAAAGAAAGAAGGTGCTTTTTAAATCTATTAATACTAAAGACTTGAATTTATGCCTACCTACCCTTTCTCTTCCTTACAAAATAAAAACTAAATATTATTCTCTGTTTATGTTACTAGAGGTCCAGTGCATGAATTCATGCACCAGTGGGGCCTCTCAGCCTGGTCTGTGGGATCTGACCGAAAACAGCTCTCTGACAATCCCCCAACGGGTCCTGGATTGTGAGAGGGCACAGGCCAAGGGACCCCAGTAGTGCATGATCAGGGATGGGGAGGGACACAGAAAGTTGGCCAGCTGGGGAAGGACCGCAGGAGGGTTCCAGGGTGTATATGGCCCATCTCCCTCAGTCCAGATCAGCTGAATCCCAGCTGCAAGCTATTCTACCTGTGGGAGCATCTGCCTCCTGGTGGTCAGTGCACATCATAGTGAGCGGTTGAGTGGCCTTAGCATATAATTATCATATTATGCTTTGATTGGTTGAATTGATGACCAGACGACTGGACACAGTATATTAGGCTTTTATATATAGGATTATTTTGTGCCTAACTTTGGAAAACCCTCAAAGGAAACATGGTCCTTCAAACAACTGCCCTCAAATCTAAATTATAATTTTTGTCAATAGTTTTGCATGATATTATTTAATTTTTCAAAGAATTTTGGCAAACAAGGTATCATTTTATCTGAAACATAGAAGAGTCTTTTACTGTTTCAAATTAGTCAAGCAAGTTGGTGGACCAGAATCCTTGATGACTCAGTGTGGTTATAGTCATGTGGGGCTGACAAAAGGGTTAGACAACCAGGGTCACCTGTGCTGAGTTCATTCAGGAGAACCCATAAGGTCTGCAGGTACCAGGGGAGTGAAACAGGGCCCGATGCAAGGAGACTGTTATTCAACAAGTATATTTTGTTGGCCAGAGCAGAGAAAAGTAGAAAGAGATGGTAGGAAGGGACTTTCCATGAGGGATGCAAGAGATCTGGAGAGAGCTAAAAAGAAAAAGGGAGACATAAGCTGGAAAAGTGGTAAAGAGCAATAAAGGAATGAGAGGAAAGCGAGAAAGTCAAGGAGATGAACAATCCTTCATGGCACAGAAGCAAAGTATGTGGTGACAGAAATGAGGTGACTGAGGAAAAACACGAAGGAAAAGAGTAACATAAGGCTATAGGAGCAACTGTATCTTTTGCCCAAGGAGAAGCTCACTGAGCACTGAACACCAGAATTCAGTTGAGCTCTCTGAGTCTGTGCCCAGGTCACCATGACTGGTTGGTCATTCCTGTGTTTCTCTTCAGTTTCCTGTGAGCATGAAGCTCTCCAAAGGACTAGTGGAGGTGATTCTGAAGCGATGCCAAAACTGCTTCCAGTTCACGGGAGAGGTAATCATGCTTTAAATGACTAAATACCTCACTATATTTGTTTGACTTTCTGTATGCAAGGGAAGCTTCTGTTCCTTCCCTCAAACATAAGCTCACACTTTTCCTCTTTTTCTCTGGTTGCTCTCCCTGGGCATGTGGAGGCAAGGAGGAAAGGAGGAGTAGGCACCTAATGGACAATTGAAGAGCACAAAACAATAAAAATGTAGATTTGTGGAATCCAATGGAGTTGTCTAATTAAGCTGAATTTGATCTAAATGTATATAAAATCTAAATACTACCAGTTTAGTTTGAGAAGAAAGAGAATTTTAAATTCACTCTTTAGGTAGGGATTGAATGGGAAAAATGAAATACTACATATAGGAAAGACAAAGAGAAAGTGAGTTAAAAAATAAATGAAAATACAATGGAGCAAAAAGCTGAAGAATATCATGGAGAAAGGAGACAGAAGTGCTGAGATGGTAGAAGTCGGGGATAAAAAGTCATAGTCAAAGGGATCCACAAATAGCCTTGTGGTGCAGATGCAGCAATATGTAGAATTAGGGTCAGAGGAATAAAAAAGAGGAGAAAGGGAGAAAGGGCCTAACAAAGTGTGCAGGGGTGCAGAGCAAAGCTGGTTTGGTGCAACATACTTTTATCATCAAGGAGCAGTTCTCCCACACTCAGATCATCAGAGCTCCGAGGCACTCTGGACATGACCACATTCAGGTAGAGTTCAGGTAACTCTCAATTGCTCATCATGGTCCTGTTTCTCTCTTCAGTGCCCTTGGAACTTATTGATCTACAAATGAATGAAGGAGGAGAAATAGAAGCAATGCCCAAGCTACTGCCTTATGATGGAGATGGTAATTAGTATTTAAATGCTCTATTTTGTAATTAAAGCTTGACTTTCTTGTCAGTATAGAGCAGTGATTCCCAATGTGGGGCACATGTCCCACTGGGGGGAAATTTGATAGTGAGTTTTTAACAGTGAATTTTTTGCATTTCTTGTGGAACTCAGGGCTTCATATACCATATATAAGTATATATTGTGACATAATTATGCATTTCAGTTCTCTATGTTTTGAAACTTTATTTGCTATTTTTTCTTATCACTTCATGTCATTTTTAAAAACAATTTCTTAGTGAATTCTTTCTCAGTACTTCAACTTTCCTTTTATTCTTTTATTTTTCTCTTTCATGGATGCCATGTTTTTTGGAAGCTTGTTTAGAGCAAGTTAATGGCCTTTTAGGTTTCCTCCATTTAAATAGGAGTTCACTTTTTGAATAATAAGAATTATATGTCACAGGGAGGCGGGGCATCAGGATTTTACAGATGCTTAGATAGGGCATGGCCAAAAAAAAAAAAAAAAAAAAAAAGTTGGAAACCACTGGTATAGAGAAAGACCAATTATTTCTTCTCATTTCCTGTCTCTCCTGCTATCACTTCAACACTGGGTAAAACGTCAGGAATTTTGATTTTTTGACTACTCTTTCTCATTTGAGTCTTTGCACATGTGTAGCTCTGTGCCTGGAACTGGTGTTTGTTTGTATGTTTGTTTTGTCCCATTCTGCTTTCCATTCTGCTCATCAATTTGGTAAATTTATGTGGAAATTACATACTATCTCAAAGATGCCTTTTCTGACTGATAGTTCTGAAAAGCTGCAGAATCAGACTGGAAAAGACATAACACATGGCTTAGGGAAGCAGGAGGGAAAAAAGGGAGGTGGGGACAGACATGATAAAAGAAACAAATTGGGACAAAGAGAAGTGACAAGAGATTCCGTCAGAAAGAATCAAGGTAGAAATAGAACTAGAGACAAGTAGAAAGGGTGAAAATGAGAAAGAGCATGGGTGGAAGACAAGGATGCAAGGTTTCTGACAGTCTCCATCAGATTATTAGATTGTGCAAGGCCTTTAACCTTTACAAAGCCTAAACACAGACATGCAAACTACTGTAACTCTATTTTATGGACAAGGAAATAAAGCACAGAAAACCATGGAGGTCAGTTTTTAAGGTCAAAGTAGAAGAAGAGTGGCACAAGAGTTCCCGGTGCGTCACTGAGGTCGACAGTTTAGGGAAGCCTGTAGGTGGTCAGGGCGGGTTCCCGGGGTCAGAAGAGAACCAAGAGGTCAAGGAATTCTGCATGTTCCCATGTAGTACATCCATTTTCTAATGTAAGAACTTAATTAAGAAAAAAAAATGTTGATGGATAGGAAAGGGAAACCACTGAGAGAGCATAGGAATGCTCCAACCACCTGGGCTAAGAGAGATCTGGAATCAGACAGAAAACATAATTGGAGAAATGACATGCTATCCCTGAAAAAACAAAAGCCAAAAATTAGACCTAAAAAGTAGAGATGGGGAGAAAAAACTGACTATCAAAACAATACACAGTGAGAAAACAGAAAAGCATGGATACAGAGCTGTAGGAAGGACACAGAATTAGAGAGAAGGAGAAGGAGGTGTCATATGATGGCAAAAAAAAAAAAAAAAAAAAAAAGCAGAAGAAGATGGCATGGCTCTCAGGACCTGTGTTTGGGGCAGACTCACCACTTCCTCATCATAGTGGGCACAAACACCCTGAGGTCAGTTTCTGATCGCCCTCCAGGGTCCATCATGTTCTTGTTTCTCTGCAGTGACCTGTGATCTCAAAGCTTCAGAAATGACTAATGAAGGAGAAGTTCAGAAGGTGCTCAGCTTACAGCCTGCTGAGGGAGAAGGTAATTATGATTTAAATTCTCAGCTTCCTCAATGTATCTTTGTTTTCTGGTCAGCAAAGGAAAAAATCCCTCCCCTTTTCCCCAACCTCCCATCTTCTTCCTCATATTCACATTCATACAGATGAGGTTGCTTTGCTTTTTCCAAACTGTGAGAGAGACAAAGAATAACAGTGAGCTCAGCTAGGGGGAGGAGAGAGTGGGGAAAGGAGAAAGGCAGAATATGCCAAAAGCAGGCTGGAGCCTTTGTGTGGACAATTTTATTAAATGCATGCAAAATACAGATATCAGCAGGTTATGGCAAATCAGGCAAGGAGATTATTTTCAGCCTACTTCTGGAAATAACCAGAAACACGGACATAAGTTTTGTGAATGATTGAGGAGGCTTGTAATTTAGAAAGGCTCTTTAGACTGTTAGGATAGACCTGATTAGGAAAGGCTCCCTGGCACTGTGGTCCATGTGAAATGGAAGATTTTTTGTCAGTTTGGTAGAAGGACCTGTGAGAATGAGGAAAATATATAAAGTAATGGAAATTTTTATAGGCATTTAGAAGGTGAAGACTCAGACATAGAAAAGAAAGAAATGAGATACAGAGATAAAAACTAGAAAAATTACATAGAGAGGCTAATAGATATCCAAAATAATAATAAAGTAATGTGGAAGGGAACGCAAAGGGAACTATGTGAGAGAAAGAGTTCTATCAAAATAGTTTTAGAATCAACAAGGAGTGAAAACTGCTGTATAAGAAGGAAAAGAGAGGAGTTGGGATCCTGTAAGGCTCAAATACAAGTCACTAGACAGAAGCATCTGCCAGCAAAAGTGGGCATCTCAGTAGTGAGTTTTCAGATTAAGGTCTCTTCAGGTAGAGTAGTGCCCATAACATACTCAGAATAATGTTCTTCTCCCTGGCACCCTCAACAACTCTCCAGTAACAGAATGAGTCTGAAGAGCATGTCTGCTAGGCAGACCTGTATCCCAAGGTCATCAATCTATGAACTGATGGCATTTATTTCAAGACCTTGTCCATTTGTATGTCTTTCAGGAACTGACACTTCCAAGACTGAAACCAACATTTTCTTTTGTGAGACAGAAACTCCCCCTTCGTCAGGGTTGGCTTCTCCTCTTCCTTACCTGGTTCACATTTGGGTGGAGTACCCCATTTCTCTTGCTCCCAGCCCACCCATTTTCTTCACTTTAGCATGATTGCTATTTGCAAGATGTAAACCGGATCATATTATTTTCCAATATAAATCTGGTGACCTTTGCTGCCCTTGGATTAAATTAGTTATCTTTCTTCCTGGGGATTTCTTTGCCTTCCATTCACCACGGGGCTCCAACTTATGACTTCTGCCTCATCTTTAATGAAAGTATAAATATTTTCAGTTATTGCAATGCTCCGATCTTTCTTTTATATGTGGGTCTTTGAACAGCTCTTCCTTGTGTTTGGTGGTATTGCTTTGGCTTATTCTGTTCCCTATCTCATTCCCTCATCAGATTATGTTATACTATTTCAAGGATGCCTTTGAAAATGATAAGTGAGATGAGAAAAGTCAATAAAGAGCAGTGTCAGGAGCTCAAGAGAAAAAGATATAGGAGCAGGGGAAACAGAAACGCATCATAAACAACTAGAAGCATCTAGGGTCACTGGCAGCAGAAAACAGGACAGAGACAGAAACAATGTGCAGTGGCAATGGGGCTGGGAAAGAAGTAGAGAGAGGATTAGGTGTGCTGAAGGGAGGAAGATGATGGATAGTTCTCAGTCCCTGGGGATAGTGATAGAGGAGGGCCAATCTTCAGAACAGGTGAATGCAAAGGGCAGACCAGGATGGTCTGGGACAAAACAGTCCCAATTAGAAGGTTCCTAGCCTTCCCACATCTTCACTGTGATTTTTATTGCCATGATTCTCCTGGTTGTATATGGAGACCTCTGAGGAAGTTCAACTCTTTCTGCAGAGGACAGCAATGCCTCTTGGGAGCCCTGTGATGGAGAAGAGCTTGAGGAAGACTTGCGCTCCTCACCCAGATATGTGCCAGGGAAGAAAGGGGGCATTGCCAGCCCTTGGCTGCAGATGTCAGGAGGCTGACTCCAGAGCTGAACAGCAGGACCCTTAGTGTTAGAATAGGTGTGCTACCTATTCATTTTGTGATAGATAAATACCAAGGAAGGATAGCATTATTCACATTCTTTATTCTTAATACTAAAGAGTCAATACTATTATTTTAACCCTGCCCACCTTTATTTTCTATATAAAGTATAAAGACTTAATGTTTATTTAGTGATTAATAATAATATTATTAAGCTGCTGTAACCTTGGGTAGGCTTCAAAAGAAACAAGGTTCTGAGATCTGCTTGTTGAAAAACAACGAGTCTCAAGATCAAATTTCAGTTTTTCTCCCACATATTCTTCATAAGATTATTGGATTACATAGCACTTCTTTCTTTCAAAGTGCTCAGGCAAATGTGACTTCCTCACAAAATTTTAAGACTTAGCAAGAGAAATTGTTACTGTCCCTCCTTAAAGATAAGGACATGGAATACTTGTTTCCCCCAAGGAAGAGCAGAGACCCATGTCCTAAGTATTTCACTACGAGTGAGGGCTGTGTGAGGCTAATGGGGGTTAATGTGATAACACAGTCGCATTCCAAAGGGGGACTTGCAGGCTCCCAGGGAAAGAACAAGGCTTAATTCAGATATACTTCTACTTCATAAATAAAGCATGTTCACTGGGAGGGGAGAAATCCAGACAGTGATATAGGGACCAGATTCTGATGTTGGGATTGCAGAAACCTGGGAGAATAGAACTAGAGAAAATAAGCTGAAAAGAAGAGATCAAGATCACCAATGAGGAAAAAAGGAGATAGAAAAGAACAAAATAGGAGAAGTCAGGGGGAGCAGAGCCCACAAAATCAAAGATGCACAAATATATCCTTTGTGCAGAAGAGAAATATCTGGAGCCAGGTCTATAGGTCACTGAGAAGCAGAGAGCAGGACAGTGAGATGAATGAGATGGAAACAGAGGCAGACCAGAGCTTGGTTAGATCTCAGGTGAGGTCCTAGGAGCAGCTGTCTCCATTCCCCACTGGTTGTGTACTGAGACCTGTGAGGAAGTTCAATTATTTCTGCAGAGGACAGCAATGCCTCTTGGGAGCCTTGTAATGGAGAAAAGCTGGAGAAATACTTGAGATCCCCACCAAGATGTGAGCCAGGTGAGGAAGGGGAGATTATTTGCCATTGAAACCCAAAGTCATTGCTTAAAGTTTTGTAATTTATTAAGATACTGGAGGCCTGGTGCATGAAAATTCATGCCCTCAAGGGTTGGGGAAGTCCCTCAGCCCTGCTTATGCCTTCTCACAGTCTGGGACCCCTCAGAGAATGTCTACCTGCCAGCTTAGGCCCACTCCTTGGGGGATGGGGCCTAAGCTGGCAGTCAGACATTTCTCTGGCAGTGTGCGGGATGTCTGATTGTGGCATAGGCTGCTCCCTGTGGGAAGGGGGCCTAAGTGCAGTTGGACATCCTTAGCACTGCTCAACTTGTGACTGAGCGGAGCTCCCCTTTTGGGAACGCACTGACCACCAGAGGGCAGCTCCTGCATTGAGAGGGTCTGCCCCCTGGTGGTCAGTGCGTGTCATAGTGACCAGTTATTCCAGTTCTGCCATTAGGGTCAATTTGCATATTAATCTTTTATTATGAAGGATGTGCCACAATTAGAATCACAGTGAGAGTACAAAAAGGAAGTGGTGTTCTGCCAGTGGGAAATAGTATCTTTGGCAAAGGCAAGCTCCTGACAAACAGCAAAGAGGCCACAACATTCAATCATAAGTGTGAATGGAGTACTGAGCTAATCTGTGAGCTCAGTGTGAATGAAGTACTGAGATCATCTACCAAGCAGAGATTTAAAAAGAGACATCTAATCAATTATATAATAATAATTGATCTCAGATTATGTGTTAAAATTATTTTCCTTACACTTTGATAGGATGTCAAGTGCCTTCATGAAAAGTTTGGTGAGAGACTCAAGATAAAATGACCAAATCTCTTTGTACAAATTGACTACTGTCTAATGGACCTATACCCATTAATTAGTCTCTTGGACTGGCTTGGATAAGGGATTTATCAGGTCTATACCTCCTTCCATTTGCTATGGATCACTTTCTTCTAACATTCAAAAGCACAGGAAAATAAAAAACAAATACATGTGAAATAAGACTTTTTACAATAGACAAGAGAGTGAGAGTAAATAAAGTAGTAAAAGAATAAGCACATTACCGAAATATTTGTTAAATGATACACCTCCAAAGCAAATGCCCAACTAACTACTTTGCATCTAATTACATACACATTATTAAATAATAAGATAAATTCAGGAGTAAGAGCTCATGAAACTGCTCAGAGCTCAAGTAGTTGCTGATACTGAAGATTTACACTTATTCATTCAATGGTGCCACACTACTTTTCTAAGCAAAAGTCTTTAAGGTGATCTTGGAGCATCTCCATTGTGAAGGGGTCATCTATATACAATATCTGAAGCTACAAGAGAGACTTATTTCTTGCTTAACAAGGCACACAGTAGGAGAAGGCAGTATACTTATTGGACACTGTTTCTTAAAAAATGGAAACTACTGAATTTATGTGGAGTTTTGAGAAGCATGTAGTTCAGGGACTGCAGACTTTCAGAAATAGGAGTGATTGTAAACAGACTAGCATTTAGCCATAGATTCAGGCTTTCTGGAGTGATTTTCAAAACATAAGGCTGCAACTGATGGGGTTGGTTATGTAAGCAGTCATTAGCCAATCAGCATGAGTTTAAAAAGTGATTCTGGTAGATACTTATACAATTTTCAAAGAACAGTTAGTTTTTTTTCCTGAAAGAATATAATTTTTTTTTTGTAAGGCTGCAAATAGAAAAATAAAGTACAGGAAGAAGAATAAGGGGTAAAAGATAGGAAAATCATGGCTCTATGGGATCTCAAGTGTGATTATTGGAGCAGGTATATTTTTTTCTGAGGAAGCAGAATATCAGTGTGCTTCATGAGAACACCAGGAATTCTTCCCTAATCACTGTCTTAGGATCCATAAATTGTAACTTTTTTATTTTTCTTTAGTATCTGGTGACCTAGAAGCTTCCCAAATGAGTAGAGAAGGAGAATCTGAAGAACTTGCCTCTAGCTCACTACCCTGTGATGGACAAGGTAAGCATGACTTAAAGAAACAGAGTTCTGATAAAGAGAAAAAGACAAGAGAGAAAGATAGGAGATTTAAAGGAAGAATCAGATGTAGGGAGGATCAATGGAAGATTTTGAGGGAATCAGTAGAAAATGGGGATCAACAAATTTACATAAAAGAAGATCCCTAGTGCAAATGAAAGGTCTTCATAAATCACAATTTTGTTCCAGAAGCAGAGCTAACAGCAGGTGAAAATGAGAAGTATGCCGGTGTTGTGTGCTTCTCAAACGACATGCCAGAAGGTCTGGAAGCAAGGACTGAAAGTAGTGAAGCATGTGACACAATAGGTAAGGCTGTCCAAAGGTCAAGTCATGAGGGTAGATTTATAGGCAACACAGACCCCAGGGTAGAGTATGACAGGTGGTCCAGTCTATATTGTTGTCGGCATTTTCTCAACCTGCCCCTTTTGGGAACAGCATGGAGGCAAAACATCTCTTATTATAGAGATGTTTAACAGGACAAGCCCTATTGATTTTACATAGTTGATTATAGTAGAATTACACTTTTAAAATGACTGTATCTAGTTTACTACATTAGTATATTAGTAATAGATTTTGTATTTATACAGTGATTTCCATCCTGGTCCCACCCAGAATCCAGAAAAAGGGAGAATGTACTTCTGCTAGTGTATAATAGTATCATTTTTTTCACAACCTTGGAAAGACCTAAAAGATAACTGATCCTGTCATTTAATTGTCAGTAGGAAAGCCTTCAGATCAACTACAATTAACCTAGCACATATTTTTGATGGATGTCCTCCAGCATATCACTAATTTATATATTGTTTTCCTACAAACTTTTGCACATGTTATTTAATTCTCACAAAAATATCTTTAGATCTAGACAGAATAGGATAACTGATTCTATCCCTAAATAAATTGAAGTATAGAGACATTTAAGAGTGTTTTTCAAGATCCTATTGAGAAATTAAGGAAGACCCTGGGCCCATCCTGGACTCCTACTTCTCAATTCAGAAGATTTTTAGTCCCTTTAGAACAAAGAGAATAATGATAGTCTAAACATCTTTAAAAACTTAAGCCTTCTGTAGTATGAATGACCTTAGGATTGGCAAATTTTAGTTATTAATTTGTTTCCTTACATCAATCTCTTATTTTCTAGATAATGTGGATCTCGGAAATAACTCTACTTTGGGAAAACTCAAGAGGAAAAGAAGTAAGAACACATTACATTTTACTTGATTTTGATGTTAAAGTTAGCTTTTGAATGCCAGAGTTTTAAATTTCTAGAGGCCTGATGCATGAAATTCGTGTAAGAGTAGGCCTTCCTTCCCCTGGTTGCCGGCACTGGCTTCCCTCTGGCACCTTGGACTTGGGCTTCCCTCCTGCTGCTGGCAAGCACCCAGGTCTCAGGTTTCCCTCAAAGCCCTGGCTTCATCTGGAAGGACATCTGGTCTAATTAGCATATTATGCTTTTATTATTATAGATTTACAATAATAAGTGATAATAAAAAATAATTAATAATCATATGATAGTTATTCAAACCTGTTTATATCCTAATATCTAGAGCCTATAATGTGTTTTCTCCCATGTCATATAATAAAGCGAGGGTCCTTCAAAGGGGAAAATATCCTGGATATTTGGGTGCCACCAATATAATCAATGAGCTTTAGAGTAAAGAACTGTTCTCAGGTATGGTGAGAAGAAGATAATCACAGAGAGATGCGATCTTTGTGAAGATGGAAAAGTGGAACAAGGAATATTGGTTATATGTAGAAGTTGCAAGAGCATTGGGAATAGCTTCTCCTGTATCACCTCCAGAAAGAAAGGAGAGCCACTGAAACCTTTACTTTAGTCCTTGTCAGTCTAGACCCTTGTCAGACTTCTAACTGACATATCTGTAAGATAACAAATTTAAATTGTTTTAAGCCACTAAATTTGTGGTCATTTGTATGGCAGCAATAGAAGAGCAATACAAATTTTGGTTATTATACAACTATAACACATTCCTAAAAAGATGGAAGTGGCTTAGAAATTGAGCAATGGACAGAGAAAAACTGGGCAATGTGAAGAATTTTTAGTAGAATGATAGAAACTGTCTACATGGCCTGGAACAGTTTGTTAGAAATGTGGGAAGACTACTAGTGAAGACTCAGAAGGAGGTGAAGAACTTGGGAGAGAAAGGCTATATTGAGCTCCCCACCCAGATGTGAGCCAGATAAAGAAAGGGTGTTCGAGTAAGATAAGTGAGATGGAGCTCAAGTGAGGTAAATATCAGGAGCTCAAGACACTTAGAGAGTACATAAATCATGCTCAACAGATGTTAGTAAATATATGAAGGTTAACGGTATGGCTGGTGAAGACTGAGAAGGGAAAAAGGAAGATGTTTTGGGAAACTATTGAAAAAGGATTCTTATTAAGTAAAGGCAAAGAGCTTAGTGAAATTCTTCCTAAAGAGATGTGTGAAACAAACCTTTTGGGTGTATAGCTAAGGATATTTGTAAGCAAGTGATAAAGATTCAGCTGTTTTGTTTGTTTTTGTTTCTTAGAGTGAAATATGTGAGGAAAGAGATAAACCCATAGAACTGCTCAACAACAAGATAAAAAATTCAGGCTTGCTAATCTGTACAATTTTTAGCTTATTCAGATTGCAAAAGATGCTAAAATTAGGAGATACGCTGTCAGGAAAGTGTGCTCTGTAGAAGTGAACAAGAATGTGGCTTAATAACTTTTTGTTATTAAGCCACATTCTTGTTGCCTCAGAAATAACAGAAGATCATAATATTCATTCACATAAAAGGTTCTTTGAAGGAATTAAATGTGTGGTTCACAAGCCCCCCACCCCAAGCCATCTCATTAGAGATTAAAAAATAGATATGTAATTATGTAGGAAAAGACCCGGAGAGGAGGTTTTGTGTATGGAGTAATTCTCCATGACATACATAAGATTCTTGAGAATTATGTATGGACAGAAACAAAACTCTATCTAATCCCTAGAACCTATAATATGGCTCTTTACATGGAGAAAAAGAGTTTTAGGAATCTTTAAATGGGCAAGTTATCTTGGTAGCCCCAATCAAATCACATGGGTTCTTACAATCAGAAAATGTTTCCGCTGTGCAGAGAAGGATATGTACACATGAAATAATCGGAGCTACAATGACCTGGCTTTGAAGATGCCAACATGGGATAATGAATGAAGAAATTGGAAGCTGGAAAAAAAAAAAGGATAATCCTTCATAGCCTTCAGAAATGAGAAAAGCCCTGTGAACACCTAGACTTTAGCCCAGTGAGACTTGTGTCACATTTCTGATCTTCAGATCCATAAAATAATAAATCTGTGTTGTTTGAGGCATAAATTTTATGATAATTTATTATAGCAGCCATAACAACTAATACCTTTTGTAAAAAAGCAAACAAAAAAGAATATTTCACCTTTATATGTTAGATTGCATCTTTTAAAATAGTAATTGATATTTTTAAATGCTCACATCTTTGCATATTTTTTAAAAATTTTAAAACATATAAACTTTGTAAATGTGGCATATATATTTCTAGATTTTTTTCTATGCATATATGAAAACATTTAGAATTATATAATATATCTAAAAAATCTATTGATATTGTTAATTTTCCTTACTTTAAATGAGTATATCATGTTCAAGACATTATAAACATTTAACATATTGCCAACTTACCTTTAAAAATTGTTTGAGATAAGTTTACAATGAAATGTAATAAAGTTGAGAATATCATTTGATGTGTTCTGACACATGCATTGTCCTGTGTAATTCAAATCCTATCAAGATACAGAACATGACCATTACCCTCGAAAGAGCCCTTCTGCTCTTCTGGTATATCTTTAACCCTCACTCACCAAATGCAATTACCTATTCTTACTTTTTTATCATAACTTAATTTGGCTTGTTTTCAAACTTTAAGTAAATAAGGTTTTAGAGTATATTCTCTTTTGGTGCAGTGTTACACTCAACTCAATGTTCTTTCAGTTTAACCACATTGTTGAATCTATCAGTAGCTTTTTTCTTTTGATTGCAGTTAATGAACATTGTATGAATATACAAAACATTGAGTAAATATTCTTCTATTGACAGAGAGCACAAGTGTGCCAGTTTGGGGCTAATATAAAAAAGCTGCAATGAACATTCTTCTGGAAGTCTTTCTGTGGCTCCATGCCTTCATATCTCATATATAAACTTCTAGAAATAAATTTTACAAGATATGGCATAGTTATATCAGTCTTTTGTCCCCCAAACCCAAGTAGGGGCTACACAATACATAGAAATGGTGCCAAGCTGAGAAATAGAATGCTTCAGGAACTGTTTCTACTAGTCAGAAACACCTGCCTTCAAAGGAGGCTATTAGTAAACCTGCAGATCTCCTCTGAGGTGAGGAGGAAAACATTACTATTCCAGAATATTTCTAATGAGGGAGATGTTCTCTCTTTTATAATGGTCAAGAAACAAATCTGCCGAAACCGGTTTGGCTCAGTGGATAAAGCAGACTGAAAGGTCCTGGGTTTCATTCCAGTCAAGGGCATGTACCTTGGTTGCGGGCACATCCCCAATAGGGGGTATGCAAGAGGCAGCTGATTGATGTTTCTCTCTCATCGATGTTTCTATTATAACTCTCTATCCCTCTCTCTTCCTCTCTATAAAAAAAATCAATAAAATATATTTTAAAAAAGAAAGAAACCAATCTACCCTCTGATCTTGATGGCCACATTAGATATTCAGAAGCACATGGAAATGCCACCAAGAATTAACCTATGAACAAATCCACCTCACCCAGCAAACTCTGGCAAATTTCCCCATAAAGACACCACTCACAAGCCACTCCAATTATTCTGACCAGTGGGGGTAGGACCAAATCCATTTGATTTGTTTCTTGCACCATTTAACACATTTCATAAACCATAAATGCTGTAGGTCTCTATGGACCACCCTAATCTGCAGTTCACCATGTTTGCATGAGGGAAACAAGTACCTGGCTTCTCTTAAAAAGTATCATCTCAAGGGCACACACAGTGACCCTGGAAGGGAAGCTTTTATAGTTATTGAGCCCCCTAGTGTGATGTACGCCACCAGGAGGAAGATGGACAGTGCTCCCAGTGTGGGCCCTGGCTGTAAGCCTTATAGTTCCCAGTTCCATTTACTGTGTCTAGTCCTTGATGTTCAGAGGGGCTCTGCATGGATGTACAGATTCAGGGGCCAGCCCTGTTTTCTCGTGTCTGGAGCTGAATGGCAGACTTAACATCTCCCTGGTGGGAAAGCTGGACCATGCACATGGTCCTGGAAGAAGGATTCAGGACAATTCTGAAGGGCAGATATTATTAATGCTGCTCCCTCCCTCAAATGTCTTAAGTTGTATGGTGTTCCTTCCTCAGATGCCTGGATCTTTGCTCTTCCTTCAGTGCCACAAAACATGTGTGTACCATTCCAGTAGCTGTAGCTTCATCTTTCTTTCCCAATCATCTTTAATTGTCACTCAGACCTTTTTTTTTTTTTTTTTTTTTTTTTTTGCTTAAGGACCAGATACAAGAAGGAAAATACATTTTCATAAAGTGTAGCCAAAATTGAATCTGCCTCCCCTAGACATTCTGAGGCTGGTTAGGGGAAGAAAGAAGCATCATCCCCAAGGATGTTCAGGACAGAATCCCAAATTTTTAGAATTTGTCTATTTAACAGCATTTATCCTGGCTGCTTTTGTCCTGATCCTGATGCAGACAGGAGTTGATCATTTTCTGGGAACAGCTGTCTTCAGTGACCAAAGAGCCTTACAGAGGTGTGTGGACAGGAGGAGATGAGGAATGTTACATCAGTCAATCAGTGCTTTGGGTGTAGTATTTGATAAAGGGCATACCATTGTCAGACTCAGATGGTCCAGCCAGCCAGGTTGATGACACCCGTGAATTCCCAGGGTCGCAATCAGTTGAAGTGTGGACTATGTTGATATACTACCCAAAACCCCAAGAGGGGTTTGAGGCCTGATCAGTGTGTCAGGAGCAGGCCGAGTAATACCCCTTGTGATGGGCCTCCCTGACCATGGAATGAACAGGTAAACATTAGCAGGAATCATTAGTCTGGCACACAGTTGCAGTCCCTGAACACAGCCATGGTGTCATCCTGTCAGCAGGTACTGAGGTATCTCCATGAGGGGTCCAGACTGGTCTGTCTGCACCACAAGTTCATTTCTGC